GTTGTCCTCTCAAAGCACGATTCAGACTCAGGGATTTCCTAACTATTGCCTTCCTTTGAATCACTGCCAGTCACTTAAATACGTGCGTCTCCAAAGAGGCACTTCCTTGCCAATCTGGCTACTCACAGGATGTCACAACTACTTCAGATGACATTCAATTACCACAGGTCTTGATGTGCGTGAGCAAGAGGAGGGGGGGGCACCTCAATGCAAATAGACAAATCCACCCAGCTGCTTTGTGTGTGGCAGAACTGCCTTCCCCAGAAGGTTTTCAACAGGATAGAGACCTGTCAAAGACTTAAGTATAGGGTGGGGCTGGACAAAAGGATGTTTCACATTCATAGGTGCCACCCTCGGCATTCTGCAAAGACAAAGTGCACAGATACATATAACATTTTTCAAATCTTTGGCCACTGAATCAAACTCCTCAGGTGCTCAGGATTAATCCTATCCTCCAAAAGAATCTATTTATTCTTATCAGAAAACTGCAAGCCTGCAACCATTCACACCACCTCACACTGACTCCAGAGACCTTCCCCACAAAGATCCATGTACTTAACTGCCATTTTGAACAAGCCATTATACTATGAATCTGTACTCAATTTGCAAATCACAAATATACTAAATTGCTCAGTTGTGTCATTTGCACTTCGAACAAAAGCAATGGGTGCTTAATCCTGATTGATGGCAAATTATGTTTGTGATACTGGGCGCATTAATGTGTACCAAGCCCACATAAAGACACAGCATAATTTCTTTAACACAGCAGGGCCAGACAGTCACAATTCCTTTACGCGGCAATGCAGAGATGGTGAAAGTTCACCCGTCTTTATTTATCAGGTTGCTCTGATATTTTTCCACCTAATTGTCAGTTACTATGAGTTGAGAAAAACACACTGAACAAGATTAGTAGGTTTTAAAACTCTATATATAGTGCCGGAAAGGGGATATAAACCACAACATCTAAGGATGCTTATTGCAGAAATCTGAATTTCAAAACAATCTAGGAACAGGTTCCTAACAGAAGTGATGGATGATTTTTGATGCTCTTTCCAGCACTAAACACTCCATGAATATACTCTCTCTTTCATACATAACGTCCTATTATCTCTTGCAGGAAACACAGGCCAAAGGAATTATCTGGACCTTCTATGAATGAATAGAGAATGAACAGAGAATTCAATGTGTCAACTAATGTTAGGCCACAAGAAGTTTAACCAGTGTGTTTCAAAATCAAGTGGGGATCTAAACTGGGATTTCAGAGTCAAATAATAAACTTTGCAATGGCCGACTTTGCATATGATATGGACCCAGATCCAGTTTGGGTCAACAGAAAAATGCAATCAAATTTACCCTGCATCAACAAACTCTTGCAGTGAAAGGGCCTCTGTCAACGGCCTCTTTTCGTAAAACCTGCAAGAGTGTTACAATGAACAACACAGCTAAGAGGTATACTCAGGTTTACACTGAACAGTTAAATTAAAAAGGGGAAAGGCAATTCAGAGAAGAGTCACTGCTAATAATAAGCTGGCCCATGGGGTGCTTAGATCTGCCTTGCAGGGCCACCCTGGAAACAGCCCATTTTCGCTGGTAGAGCTCTCAGGCCACCACAGGCACCCCTGGCATGAGTGATGTATAACCGGCCACCCAAACCCTGCCTCCCGAGATCAAACACAACGCTGATGTGGCTCTCAATGAAGTAGAGTTTGACATCCCTGCTCTATATTGAAGAATCAAGAATTAGACTTGACCAAATCCAGTTTCCTAGAAAGGATGCATTGCTGGTAGGACTGGAGCTAAATTTCATAAGATTAATTTTTGTTGCAATCACTGGAACAATGGCATTATGCAATACTTTCAGATTACAGCCCCAAAATGATCATTAATGCCATGAAATCCCATAGCTGTAATTTATTGCCGTAATTTGGGGGTGATGATATTGAAAGACCACCCTCCTTCCTGTCTTCTTCAGGAAATGTATATGATCTGCCTACTCTGTTTGCTCATCCAAGTTACACAACTATATCTGAGGGGGAAAAACCCCACAAGTGAGAAAATCCTTTTTTGGAGAAAAGTATCAAGCACTTCCTCTGTTTCATATCATTCTGGCTCCAATTTTTTTCTGCAACTATTGAATATGTCCTTGGAAGTAATTGCATAAAGAAATCCATGCTAAGGTGATCAGTATTCAGCTAGTAATTAGCAGGAGCCCTCTTCCTAGCTCGCCTGAGGCCCACCGGGTAACCAACATCCCACATTAAAAATAGAGAATGACACAATCCCAAACTGCCTTTACTGGAAGCTGAGGTTCCCAATGATAAACAGGTTTGCCTCTTGGCTACTGCAGCTCAACTTGGATGGAGGGGAGCACTGGAAACAAAATGATTATATTTTGAAGAAGAGGCACAATTCATTTTGAAAATCACTATTTTAAAAAGGAGTCAATATTTTCCTTCAAAGCCCATATTGCTTAAACTCTTTCCAAGAGTTCAATTTAGGCGACCAAAGAGTATTTCGACACCCCCTCCAAAGGAGAGCTTCCAAAGTACAGCATTTGGCAACCCCCCAAGAAATCTAAGTCAGGATCTCCGTCATCAGAGTTCACACAACTTAACACAAGACAGTAAGCAGCAGCAGCAGCGACTTGGCAATGAAACGACCCTTCCCCCAGCCAGATTCCAGTTCTCCATTTAATAAAAGCAAATAAAAATGGTGCATCCCTTTAAAGTGTATTCAGTACTGATGTTCTTGGTAAAACAAGGACTGGGGGAGGAAGTCAGTAAGTCATAGCCAAGAATTTCCACTTGAGACTGAGGATATGAAGAACAAGGAAGAGGCTATTTAATTATCTTCTTAAAGCTGCAAAAAAGGTCCATTTAAGATATGGATCAACAGAAAAATTTAGACCAAAATATATAGAAGTTCTAGATTTTCAGACTGGAAAAAGAGACAGAGAAAAAAGATGGATGGCGGGGATATTTCTATAACTACCGGTAGGATTATCTCAACTTCCTCTCTCTATCTAAAGATTAGAAATATGAGTTTTAGGCATTGTTGCATGCCATCCAAAGAAGTCTTACCATATGACAAAAAGTGTTTATGTAACTTATATTTTTTTTAAAAGGGATGGACCTAAAAAGTTTATTTTTAAAAAAAAAATAAACCATTTTTTCAATGGTCGTCACAATTTTTGTCCACTATTAGCCAATTGATGGAGGACCCAATTGTTCTTTTCACACTTAGCAGCAGGAAATCAGTGAAATGTTTCCCGTGGCCAGGTGTCCAATGAAAAAAGAGAGCTCTTTTACTAGCTACAATCCTCACATAACTCAAAAGCACTTGAGTTCACTGCTATACAGGATAAGGCTCTCCACACTGCAGTCCTTAGCCAAGGCTTGGGCAAATCCCCCACTCCACCACCAACACAGCATAATTGAGCAAGGCAAAAGGAAGCTGCCATCTTCATGGATTTATTTCAATTATCTCTCTCTCTCTCTCTCTCTCCACACACACACAGACATTGCTCATTGTTGTTGCTCATTCTCCCTTTATGCTACAACATGAAAGTCGAGGAACCTGTTCAGGTCCTCCTCATATATGCCTGATAATGGAAAATAGAACAGAATAGAACCCAACATTTCCCTTTTAAAAACTGCCTTCCCAACAGCATTATTTTTTTAAAAAAAACAAACCTTTACTTTTTCTAACATTTGGAAATTTATTCTGTATACAATTTAGTGTACTCTTAATCCACATTATATTTTCCTTCCCAGAAATTATCAATACTGTTCCTTAAAAACATTTCAAAGCATATTTCTTTGTAAAGTATTCCCAACCCAAGACTGTCTAATCAATATCTACATTTTATTTAGATATTTATTTCTCATATTTCATTTATTCAAATCTTATTAGACAGTCGTTTTTAGAGAGCTTTTTTTGGGTGGGGTGGGTGTAACAAGGGAGTGTCTAATTTCAACAAATCCCCAAATCAATCCATGCGCCTATCACTTCATTCCTTTAAAGATTTATGAAAAGAACCTCTTCTCTTAACTTCCATGGCACATTTGGAGATAGCAATAAGGAGATTTGTACTTTTCTGTGTCCTGCATCCATTTTAAGAGAGCCTTCCTGACGAGAAAACCAAGACTCCCCTCTCAAGAGAGTTCAATCAATTCAGAAAATTCAAATCCTATTTTTTGCACTCAAGCATCCCTACTCCAGTGGCCTAATTTCCAACCCATGTTCAGTCCCCTAATTGACTATTAAAAAGGTATGACAAGCTGCTTTCTTATTACCTTCTACTGTAGCACTTTGGCCTTTACCTACAAGGGATTTTTTTTTTTAAAAAAAAAAACCAAGCTACATCTTTGATATTTAGAAAGGAGAAGCTTCCAAAGTGGTCCTTTGGAGTGAAAGGTGTATCATTTCCTTAATATACTGCATACATTTTTTTCCATGGTTGGTTGCTCAATTCTTACTGGGAGCTGAAGCAAGACACCTCCCAGGATGGTATTTATTTTTTTGATTTTTGGGGGGTGTGTGTGGCTTTTTCCATATTTCCTTACATCGAGATTTGCTAGAGAAGTCGGTTTTTCTCTCTCTCCTTAATCCAGGTCATTTATTTTCTTTTCCTGGCAGGGGAAAGATTTCATCACCACCCTCCTGCGTTCCCCCTATATTTGGAAGAAGGGCTCTGTCCTTAAAAAGAGCCATTTGCTTCTTGTTGAGAGCATCTCCCTTCGAGGACTACTTTGGAGGAGAGGGGGGTCCCACTCTTCCTGCTCCCTAGCCAATTTAAGGGGAAGGGGAGTCCACCTTCCTTTCCTCTCCAGCCCTGTGTTGGTGGGAGAAAGGAAGCCCCCCCCCCCAATTTTCCAGCCTACCACTTTTCGAGCTGGCATTAAGAGGAGGCGGCTACTCCCCACCCACCCACCATAACCAACTTCTCCTAATATAAGAGGAGGGTCGCTACCCCGCCCCCTCCCGGCTCGAAGACCCACCTTGCGTCCCTGGAAGGCCTCAAAGGCTCGCAGGGCCGAATCGGTCAGCTTGACGTGGAAGACAGAGATTCGTGTGCCGCGGCCGAGGCGCCCGCAGGACAGCACGTACCCCCTCTCAGTCAGCGCCGCCATCTTGGGAATCTCCGCGGCGGTGGCGGCGGAAGCCCCTGGGACACGCCCCCTCAACCATTATGGAGCAGAAACGCCCCTGTGTAACGTCATTCATCCGCGCGGCGGCAGCCTTTAAAGCTGCAAAGTACGACGGGAAGTGTAGTCTACAACTTCTCTTTGCTGGGCTTAGGTTATAGGCGCCCCCTTCTGGTAACGTTTTCCAAACTCTTACCTCATGGCTATTGCCGGGAGCTGTAGCCACAAGCTGCGCATGCGCCAGATGCCGATAGGCATGTTGGGAGATGTGGTCTTTTTGTTTCGAATAGAATAGAATAGAATAGAATAGAATAGAATAGAATAGAATAGAATAGAATTCTTTATTGGCCACGTGTGATTGGACACACAAGGAATTTATCTTTGGTGCATATGCTCTTAGTGTACATAAAAATCCAAGATACATTCGTCAAGACTCAAGAATCATAAGGTACAATGATAGTCATAGGGTACAAATAAGCAATCAGGAAACCATCAAGATAAATATAAATCGTAAGGATACAAGCAACAAAGTTACAGTCATTCAGTCATAAGTGGGAGAAGATGGGTGATAGGAAGGATGAGAAGACTAATAGTAATAATAACGCAGCCTTAGTGAATAGTTTGACAATGGTGAGGGAATTATTTGTTTAGCAGAGTGATGGCATTCGTGGAAAAAACTGTTCTTCTGTCTAGTTGTCTTGGTGTGCAGTGCTCTATAGCGTTGTTTTGAGGGTAGGAGTTGAAACATTTTATGTACGAGGGGTCTGTAGATATTTTCAGGGCCCTCTTTTTGACTTGTGCAGTGTACAGGCCCTCAATGGAAGGTAGGTTGGCAGTAATTGTTTTTTCCAAAATGTTTCTCAATTTAGCTTCTGGCGTGTTCTAAATGTAAGGAAATGCTTTTTAGGGTGTGTGGCTCTGAGAAATAATGCTTTTTATATATTCAAAGTATGCACAGCTTTTATGCAGAAAATCTAAAGAATTTTGTCCCACTTCCTTAAAAGTAGGCAAGGATGTTAGCTTTAATGGATGATGTTCATGTCATCAGATGAATGGAATGAAATACTGTGCAAAGAGGTTAAGGGCTACTGCTGTAGAAGAAAAGAAAAAAAGTGACAATGTGATCAACGAAGCATCTTTTTGCTTCCCTTTGGACAAGTTAAATAAAAATGGTTCATCAACATAGTCATGTTTAATATGAAATGAGGTGTATATATTTAATGCACATTAAAATTTTCAAATATTCACAGAATGGTGCTGATGATACATAGATTGTCATAGTGAGCATTATGCTTGCGTTTATTTTGATGCAAATGATAATATTCAACATTTGAAACTGACGATCAACTACTGCCCAGATGCATTTTGACCCAACCAAACTGGTGAATACAATTTGAAGTTTGTATTGATCGAGTGAATTCTTACAAACTCAACCTTTATTTTATCCTATTGCAATGTACTACGGACTGCCGTATATCTGTATAGAGAAGGGTGATAAACAACCACATTCCCCAGGCAAAGAATTCTGGGGAGTGCCTCCCCATTTCGCTTGTTTCTAGACTTGAGGCCCCCCAAACTTGGCAACTTTAAGACTTGAGGACTTCTGGGAGTTGAAATCCCCAAGTCTTAAAGTTGCCAAGTTTGAAGAGCTCTGTTCTAGACGGAGGGGCGTAGTGATAGCGAAGACACACCATTGGTTTAAACGCCTACAAGAAGGCGTGGCTATTCAAATAAACTTCTTGACATCAGAGACAGCATAGCTGGCTGGAGAATTCTGGGGGTTGAAGTCCCCAAGTCTTAAAGTTGCCAAGTTTGAAGAGCTCTGTTCTAGACAGAGGGGCGTGGTGATAGCAAAGACACACCATTGGTTAAACGCGCCTACAAGAAGGCGTGGCTATTCAAATAAACTCATTGACATCAGAGACAGCTGAGCCGTGACGGTTTGGCCCACCGGATTTAGGCTGCTAAAATAGGAACTATCATTAGGTGGCAGCAGTCGCCCTAGGGTAGAGGCTGCTACCGCTCCTCCTACTCGCATCTACAAGCTAAACGAGCTTTGCCGTTCTGTCCTGCAAGGGAAAATTGACATGACTCGGAAGTTATCGCTGCGAATGACCGCCTCTTCCGCTTAACCTTTCCATTTGACTCCTTAGCACGACCTGCAAGGACTTCAGTTTCGAGGAAGAGCAAGTATGGGCGATGTTGGGGTCGGAGCTGGGGTGGGATGGGACACGAGGGGGTGGGGGAGGAAAGCGGAGGAGGAAGGCAGCGACTCGGCGGCTCATGCGAGCGGAAAGCGGCCGCTTGCAGACTCGGGGTCCCCGAGGAGGAAGCCCCGCCGAAGCCCAGAAGCGGCGGGGACTAAAGAACCAGAGCTCCCGCCCATCAGTTTGCTCTCTCTTTCTCTCTGCTGGGGCCTCCTCGCCCCCTTAAAAGTCCCCAGGGATGGAGCCTTGCTTAGTCCCCAAAGGTGCTTCCTTTTCAAAAGGCAACTGGACTTTCTTTGTTTTTTTTTCCTCTTGAAGACGTTTCGCTTCTCATTGATTTTTATTTTTTTTTAATAAAGTTTTTATTTTTTTATTTTCATAACAAATAACCACATATATACTATTACATAACCAACATTATATTATATTATTAAATGTTTACATCATTTCGTCTTGCCGTCAACTCCCAAAAACGATTATTGGCTCTTCTGCTCTCCATACACCTTATTTGTACCTTATCCATCACTTTCTTCTCCCTCTCTCCTCCCCCTCTCTACCTCCTTTCTTCCCTCTGTCCTTCTCTTCTCTATTTCCCCTTCCTCTCTCCTTCTCCTCTCTCCCCTTTCCACTCCTCCTTTCTCTTCTCCTCTCCCTCCCCCTTGCCCTCTCTCCTATCCCTCTCTTCTTCCCTTACCTCTCTCCTCTACTTCCCACTCTTCATCTCATTTACTTGGTGTATTTCAGCCTCTGAGCAAGCTCCATTTTATGTTGATGGTATTTATAATTCCATTTCAATATACATATTTGATTTTAACATCTTCCTTCTTTTTTAAAAGAGAAAAAATATATATACATATATAGTATATTTTTCTTATGGTGATCTCAGGTGCATTTTTAAAAAATAGATTTGTAGTAAAACAGTTTTCTTCATTTTATGTCACAATTTCAATCTTTACAACACTCCGATATGATTATATCTCCTAAGGACATACACATTATCTTCATTGTTCTTCCTTTCCTTTTGTGTACATATTCTATAAAGGTAAAGGTTCCCCCACACATATGTGCTGGTCCAATGATGGCGAACCTTTTTGGTGCCAAGTGCTGAAAAAGTTGTGCGGAAACATTGCATGTGTGTGTGTGCGTGCATTGCGCACTCCTCGGGGCCATACTCCAAAAAATCCAAACTTCTTCAAGAAAAAAACAAAAAAGTCCAGTTGCCTTTTGAAAAAGCACCTTTGGTCAACCATGACCTGGATGATTGAGAATCACCATAGGCATTGTTACGTTGTTAGTTCATGCAGAGTGTGGTAAGGACAGCTGAGAAGATTATGGGAAGCTCACTTCCTGTCATTCAGGATACTGCTTATAAATGCTATGTGCTTAAGGCTCAAATCATTGTTAGTGACCACACACACACACTTCACAGTCTATTTCTGTTGCTCCCCTCTGGGAAGAAGTTTGGAGGTATTTCTAGCAGGACTACCAAATTCTGTAACAACTTTGTTCCCTGGGCCATCCGTCTGGTAAAACTCATTTTTCTCACCATGTACATGTATACATCCGAACTGGACTGTTGTTTCTCTGTGTCATACGTAGGTATGCAAATAACATTGTAATTATTTATTTTTTCATGTTTATATAGTGTATATTGGGGATGGTGACCCTTTGAGAGCTGTACGCAATGAAATTTCATTTTAATGTATGCCAATTAGTGTAGCTTCAAAGTGACAATAAAGTTATTCTAAGTCTACTTTGTCTAGAACAGGAGTCTCCAAACTTGACAAGTTGAAGACTCGTGGACTTCAACCCCCAGAGTTCCCCAGCCAGCAATTAACTTGCCACGGTTGAGAAACACAAGTAGTCTAGATAACGTAAGAAACCTTCTGAACATAACTTGAATGCAGTAGTAGAAACACAGGTAGTTCTCAACTTACGACTACAAATGAGCCCAAAAGTTATGTTGCTAAGTGAGAAATTTGTTGTGTTAATTTTGCCCCATTTTATGACTTTTCTCCCCACATTGGCTAAGTGAAACACCGCAGTTCTTAAAATAGTAACACGGTCGTTAAGAGAATCTGGCTTCACTATTGACTTTCCTTGTCAGAAGATCACAAAAAAGATACCACGTGACTCTGGGCCAATGCAACCATCATAAATGTGAATCACTTGTCAAACATTCTTATGTAATTCACGTGGCCATAGCCATCAGGCATAAGTGTGAAATATGGTTATAAGTCACTTTTCAGTGCCATTGTAACTTCAGGCGGTCACTAAAGAAACTGTTGTAAGTCAAGGACTACCTGTTCATTACAATCATGGCTAAGGGTAGGAACAAAGTAATGCCAACTTAAGGTAATAAAGTCTTGCCTGATTTGCTACCTTTCTAAATGCAGGCAACAGGAACTCCCCCTCCTTTGGGAAGAGTGCCACGACTGAACAGGCCCTACTTGGCTAACCACCAGTTTGTTCGTACGGTAAGTAGGCTTGAAATTCTCAGAGAAGTAACTCAAATTCTGTAGGTGGCTTTTACAGGTAGGCAGTCAATTGTCAAGAAAGGATCAGCATGATTTTTTCTTTATGATTTTACATTCGTGAAATGCTGCCAAGTTGGGTACTTCTGTGAACATGTGGACAAAGGCTCACCGTTGCTGATCACTATTTTATAACTCCTAAGACCTTCCAGTAAACCTTCCAAAGACATTTCAGTAAACCCTTTGTTCTTATACATACTTAATTCAAGGACTTCTCCTTCTATGTTGTTGGTTTTTTAAAAATTCTTGTGCTTTTGAT